GGGGGGGGGGGGGGGGGGGGTGTAAAAACGTCCGAAAAGTGAGTCACGTAATTTATGAACGCTGCCCTAGAGAACGTCCGACGCGATTTTCGGTTTTTCAGTGAAATTCTATTGTGCTATCGTCCACTATTATATAATCTCCGAAAAATCCCCCAAAATCGCATACGCTTGAATCTTGAATCTACAAGTTAGCAGCACAGAGCAAATTAATATAAGGGGAGAAAATTACCATTTTTAAGACTTTCTGTACAACCTTGAAAGCGTAAGCGTCGTCGCTAGGAGGCCCCTGCCCTCCCTAAAGTTGAAAACAGTATTAACCCCCCCCCTCCTAAAAAACATTTGTCTAGTGGAGAAAAATCTTCAACGACGAGAATTCTCTCAGTGTAACTCGTCATAGCAGTTTGAAAGTACTTGGAGCCGAAAATATGTAAAACGGCGTAATTTATGTGCAGAAATGAATGGAAAATTTGTGTAACGGAAGCTTCAAAATGAGTCCTAACAGAGTTAAAATTTCAAAAAATTTCCGGGGGAGGCCTGGGGCCATGGACCCTGTTAGGGTCGAAGAGTATTTGTTACCCTTCAGACCCCTGTGATATTGAGGAGCCAGGCCCTCCCCAGCAAAATAAACTAACTACGCCTATGACTTCAAATTGGTCTGACTTTTTTGGGCGTTTTTTGTATCAAAAACTGTATGAAACAGGCCCTCAAGCAGTGGTGCTGATATCTCCATTTATTAGTTACACCCAAGCAATGAAGAAAATTTGAATAAAATGATTAAGAACTTTGCTGATGCTAATATTAGCAACTTTCTAAGAGTGAATATGGATCTAATTTTTCTCTCAGAGGCCAGTTCTTTAGCTGTAATTTTTGAGTCTTATACAGTTATCAGAGTTTCATTAAAACCACAGTATTCCTGATTATCATATCATCGTTTTAAATGAGAATCCTCATTTGTTGTTCCCAGCAATTTGTTAATTTTTAACTTGTCCATGAGACATTTTCATCGTGGATTTGTTGTTCCTTAACTCAATTTTTAGTGAGCAAAACAAACACGCAGAAAAGACGCTAAGGCTGTGTCTCCCAAAACCAGATTTGGAACTTGGACCTCCTCCGAGACTATGCTACCCGCTTGTTATCTTTCTCGTCCGAAGAGATAATCCCACTTCTCTTCATCCAGATGAAACGGTAATATCTTCTTTTTCGTTTAATAACAATGACACATTAATAACATTTAATAACATAAACATACATTAAAATGTATTCCCTATTCTTCATCCAAGATGATAACAGTCCTTCAATTGTCAAATTTGAGAAAATTGTTTTAAGTGAAATCCTAAAATTATAATGGTGCATATTGAAATTGATTAGATTTCAAATGAATTTTAAATGGATTATATTTTATTGGAAATAGATTGACGATGAATTTTTAATGAATCACATTTTATTTTTAAAGAGAAAGCAAAAGCTTCAGGGTATGTAATCGTGTCAAAATAAATTTTTAATAAACTACCTTAAGAATAGAGGGAAAACTATCCAGTCAGTAAATTTTTTCTATTCATTCATTCCACCTAACATTCGAACTGTTATCTACCATATACTTTTGTTAACATTTATATATTTTGTCAACATTCATTTATTATCTCCTAAGGCGAGCATATTGTTACAGAATATCCCATTCAATTTTTTTTCTTTTTTCAATTTTTCCCCCTGGAAGAGAGGGCACCTCTTCTAGTAACCAATATCATTGATGAATTATGTGCCAAAGTCAGCCTCTGTTTTTATTCAGTTTTTATTGAGTATCTGATTGATATCTTTATTATTTAGATAATGGTATCTGTCATTATCCGTTTTCAGAAAGGTTGATCTCAAAAATTTGTTGTTATGTTTGCTGAAAGGATAAAACAAAAAGTTTTGTGTTAAGCAGTAGCCAGTACACAAAACCGTTTGAAAATTACGCTTTTTTTACATGATGGAGGGAAAGAGGAGTATATTATTCTTATCAGACTCTCAGCACAGTCAGAATTTTTCCGTAGATAAAATCAATTTATCGCCGACAACATCTTCTCCTAACAGTGGCAAGAAAATAATTACATCAAAAACTCTAAAATGATTACCTACACTCTTTAATTGCTCCTTATTTTCCATTGCTTTTTAATTTCAGGTGGCACTAGTGAGCGTCGTTCACATTAAAGATGATGATTGTACTCTTCCCACCAGTATCTTGGCGCAGTATTTGAAACAAGCCAATGGACAGTTATCGTCTCTAAAAGTGAGTTTTTCTCTTTGGAAGTCTCGGCATCTTTTCAAATCTTTATTTTGTGTACCCATCTGTGCGATTCTCATCAGAATTTCCTACGCAAATACCAGAAGAAGATGGCAGGAGTATAAAAATATTGTATGGTCCTGGAAAGTACACAAAAAATACATATGAGAAGGATAAAACAGTCAAATAATGGTGTGTCTCGCTGCATAGACTTTAATTTTGTTCTGAAGATGAAATTTGACTGAACATTCAAAGAAATCCTGACTAAGTTCAGAAGGTTCAGGTCTTGTGTCAAGATCAAAACTCTCTTCTCCTCACTTCTTTCACTTTCCTTCGTTTTTCTACCATCATACGTAGTGTGATTTATATTCTTACCATGAACTAAACTAATGTAGTTCTTGCTTTTCTGTTTCAGCAATTATATTTAGCGACTGGAAATGTATCCAATTATGAAGAGGTTGTCAACGAATCCGCATTTTCAGTTTGCGAACAGCTTTGTGTTGTGTGTCAGTTTTTCCCTCTCTCTCGAGCATTATTGCCTTGCAGACACACTTGTGTTTGCGCTTCGTGTTTTGTGAAGCTCGACACCTGTCCAATGTGCAGAGCTCCCATCAAATCGTACTTCACCGTCCGCTCTGAAGAATACCTGACAGATAGCTCGGAAAAAACGATATCATCACATCCTGAACGATTAACTCAGTGGCTGCAGGATAGATTAACAGATTTTATAGGATTTCATCGGTAGGAAAGGTCACTTGCAATGAACTAGCTCCATGTTAGTCATTCTGTAATCACTTCACATCTTGATGTGCAAGCCAGACACGTTCCATGTGATAGAAGCCGAAGGAATTATGTCTGATGACTAAATTTTATTTTTCATCATAGCCACTGGATGAAATGACTGGTCTTTTTTAAATCTTACAATCTTGACCCCAAAAAATTTAAGTTTTTCCTTCATTTAATTTGACATAATCGACTTTCATTATAACTGTACTATATTTGTAAAGTATGATCCTGAAGATTCAGATGTTCTCTAGGAAGAAATTTATGAGACGTCTCAACTCTTTCTTTGCAGAATATCAAATCATCAACATGCACTGCACTAATCCTTATCATCTTTTCAATTCACAGCTAGAATCTCTACAAATGAAAGTAGGTATGAAATGTATGTTTCAGCACACTGTACTTTGTGCTCAAGATAAGCACACAGTGCAGTGTGCTAAAACTTACATTTCATACTTACTAATGAGAACAAATCCTTTATCCCTTCAATATGCAGGTCCCCCTTTTTTTTTTTTGCATTGCATCATTGATAGTAAGGAGACTGAATTTGTTTCAAAATGAAGAAATACAGAATGTCAATGAATGGATTCCTCTTTCAGCCTCCTGCTAGAAAAGTTTTGATGGTGATATTTCAAGTTGCTCTCATTACCTCCATATCTTTATTTTTTTCAACAACAGTCCATCAACTAACAAGGGGAGCTTCCCAAGTGTAACCGGAATTTGGAGTTGAAATTTCGCATAAAGATACTAGAGATGATTTTAGGGATGCCGTATGTTTTCGTTTTTTCGAATGGGGTCGGGAAAGCCCTCAAAAAAAGGGCTAAAGATGCGGAAAAAACGCGTGCGCTAGCGGCACAAGTAAATGTAGGTGATAGAGGCTCCGAATTCTTATCAGTACTGCATGGCCAAACGGTAGCGCGCTCGCCTCGCAGGCGGGAGATCCTAGGATCGGATCCTAATAACAGCCCGTAATTTTATTTTACTTAATGCTTGTTTATCTTTCACTTACTTTATTTTGCACCATTCGCTCCGCAAACCGACTTACGAGGTAGAACACGTAGTGATTGAAGATTTTTTACATATGCTGATATAAACTCGAAGTTTCTCTTGGATTGAAACGTTATATGTAATTGAATTAACAAAACAATCTAAAACTCACCAAATTTCGTTGCCAAGCTGAATTTCCGGAGTATCAGTCAGATACAGATACAGATTCGACTGATACTCCGGAAATTCAGCTTGGCAACGAAATTTGGTGAGTTTTAGAGTGTTTTGTTAATTCAATTACATATAACGTTTCAATCCAAGAGAAACTTCGAGTTTATATCAGCATATGTAAAAAATCTTCAATCACTACGTGTTCTACCTCGTAAGTCGGTTTGCGGAGCGAATGGTGCAAAATAAAGTAAGTGAAAAATAAACAAGCATTAAGTAAAATAAAATTACGGGCTGTTATTAGGATCCGATCCTAGGATCTCCCGCCTGCGAGGCGAGCGCGCTACCGTTTGGCCATGCAGTACTGATAAGAATTCGGAGCCTCTATCACCTCGAGTATCACCTCAAGCATCAATTCAGAGTTTAATAAAAATTTAGAATGGATTATTATATCTTATAGTCTATGAACAGCACTTGCAATAAGAATAATTTGCTTTATTCAAACTGATTTAAAGACAATAATTGCTTATTCTTCAGTAGTTCACTACGTGTTCTACCTCGTAAGTCGGTTTGCGGAGCGAATGGTGCAAAATAAAGTAAGTGAAAGATAAACAAGCATAAAGTAAAATAAAATTACGACCCATATTCAGGATCCGATCCCAGGACCTCCTGCCTGCGAGGCGAGCGCGCTACCGTTTGGCCATGCGGCACTCATAAGGATGTAGAGCCTCTGTCACCTACATTTACCTTATGCCGTTAGCGGACGTGTTTTTTTCGCATCTTTAGCCCTTTTTTTGAGGGCTTTCCCGACCCCATTCGAAAAAACGAAAAAATACGGCATCCCTAAAATCATCTCTAGTATCTTCATGCGAAATTTCAACTCGAAATTCCGGTTACACTTGGGAAGCTCCCCTTGTAAGCTGGATTGAGTGTAAAATGTATTCAGATCTCTCGATGGAAGCAACAGTCAATATGTATTCAAATTTTACTCAATGGAAAAGCCTACTGTAATGATCCAGAGACTTACTGCTTATTTCTTTACATCAAAATTCTATGCAGAGTATAATATTAACCAAAAATGTAAAAATTACCCCTCTAGCAATAAATAGCGCTGAAAACTTGAAATAGCATTGCATTATTTTTTTCGAAGGTTTGTTGGAAAGCTGAAAGTACCAAAAATCTATCGGTTTATCAATTTTCTCAATTAAGAAGTTATCAACATAAGGGAGTTGACTCTTAAATCTGCCCTCGTGTACTAATAATTTTTAATGTAACTTATTTACCTATGATTAATTAATTTTAAGTGATATTTAAAAATATTGTCTCTATCATCAAGTATTCTTTTCGTTACTTTTCCACAACCGTAAAAAGCTAAAAATTTAGGAAGCGCTTAGAAGGACTTTGAAGTAGTCTCTTCTTCACTTTTCTCCCCCCTCCCTCAAGCACACTCCCTATTCTAACTGTACAAATCCTCGCTTCTTTGACGTAAGGATGTACTTCTAATTCCACAGGAACCCCGAAAAGTATACAGAGTAAGCATAGAAATTGAGATATGCCCTTTTGTCAGAGGAGTGACAAATGAGGCAATAATATCGACCACCTACATTCTCTCATCCCACTCCTCCTATTCAAACTTCGCTCTCCCTCATGACACCTTCAATAACTAATTGTCCATCAAAATTCGGTGCAAACAAGGGAAAGCACAAAAGGGGGATGAAATAGGAGGGAGTTTTTTTTTTATTATTATTTTTTTTGCTCTACATGTATTCAATCTGCAAATTTGAAACCACTGACATCTAGATCAGAAGGAGCCACTTAGCCGTTTAATTTCAACTTTCTTTTTTCTTTTAACAAGTATAGAAATTGTATAGACCTAACTCCAACTACATCATTCTTATGTGCAGGTATGTTAATAAATCTGTAAAATTCTGGCCAAGAAGTAGAGCATCTTAAGTTTTAGGAATTTCCTATTTTCCTAGATTTGGTACCTAATAGAGCTCTCTGACTCCATCAATGAATGCATATATCATAGCTACTAATATAGCTAGATGTATCTATATTTATTCGCACTTTTGTCCCCTTGCCAACTGAAAATTGATTTTTGTCATGAGTACTTGAAGAGGGTGTTTTATTTTTTTTTAAATTTAAAAATTCTGTATATAACATTAACAGCCTCAACCAAAGGAGTAGAACATGCAAGTTCTCCATTGACTTGCTGCTCTTAGTGGTTTTTCTAGCATAGTTTCAAATTTTATTGATTTTAAGAAATGTATTTCATTTTCTCACCCTCAGATTGAAAGGAAAAATGAAAATTTTCTCATTTTCGCTGTCAAGATATTGGATCATTCAATAATCTTGGGATCATAATAAATTCAGGTGCTAAGTACAGAAAGGGCATCTCTTGATTACGGTGTTTCAGGATATCTGCTGGTATTTTATATTTTAGAGAGGAAATTATCAGGTGGATTTTCTGGAATTTTTCATTTAGAACATTGTTAAAGTCTTACAGAATATTCAGTAAAGTTTCCATGAATTGCATACGTATGCTTTGATCAAAATAGATAAAACGTTGGCAGAGATTCTGAGGTATTGCAGCCTGGAGGAGACCTTTCTGCACCCAGCGCTTCGATTTTCAAGCTAGATTTTTTTCAATAATTAAAAATCTTCACATTTTCATATCCAGTAGAAATGCCAACCCTTCACTAAAGAAAAATGGTCATTTCAAGTGGTTTGGTGGAATAGTACCCTTGTCTTCCAATATTTTTAAGTTTCTCTTGAGTTTCATTTCCATTTGTTAAATCTTCAATCTTTTAGTTTTGGTTGAAAATGATAATCAACCTTGAATTGCCTTGGCAGGTAATGTACATTTGTCAAAATGTAGTCATTAGCTGATGATCAACGAATGTTGGTCGAACCTTGAGTTCCTATGGTGGAATATAGTGCCTAATCCTGTCACCAAAAAAATGTTGTATATCATCATCTGTAGTACGTAAAATCTTTCAGACTTCATTTTGCTTGACCTGCCTATAAGGTTGAGTGGGTCCTTGCATCAAGAATTACTTTTCCTTGGGCAGTTTTTAAGCCAGTATAGTGCCAGTAAACGGCTACAGTCCTATGATGCAGGAAGTGTAAGTCAAAGGAAAAGAGGTGTAACTTAAAATTTTGTAATCCAACGTTCCTTAATTGAATGTCAAGAATTTTTACTTTTAACTGCTCTGGTTATTAATTTAAACTTTGTTAGTATGTTTAATTTGTTTCAGTATTTTTACTTAAAAACAAAATATGAACTTTAAGTATCCTGTTTCTTTTGAAAAATGTGTAGCTTTACGAAATATTGTCTCCATTGGAGAAAAAACACAAATCATGTAAAAACTGTTAAAATATGTATAACACCCAAGTTATAGCAGAATAATCTTAATGCATGGTAGAATTAATTGTACTTTTGTTTTGTTTTTGTCGTTAGAATACGTAACTATTATATCCAGCAGCGATACTGCAGCTGCGATACTGTTGCTGCTTTGTATGCAGCGATACTGCTCTGCTGTCAATGAATCCAAGTATCTATAATAAAATGAAAAAAAGAAAGAAAAAAATATTCTTGTAAATCATATTTATTGACAATATTTCCAAAAAAAATAACGGTTATGTTTTACTCAATGCAACTAAATTGTTCAAAAAAAAAAAAAAAAAACAACAAAAAAACAATAAATTTTGGATTCATTTTAAACATTGACGCATCATTTTTTCATCATTTACCCTTGTTTTCAAGGAACACCTTGAGAGTAGAATCAACAGAGGCAGATATCAACAATCTACTAGTTCAAAGCAACCAGCTGGAAACTTTTATTTTTAGGGCTGTTCTTAACAACAGTGATGTGTAAGTTAAGTAGAATTTGTTTGGCAAACCAGATTATACTCAGTTACTTTGCTACTCAACCTGTGGCTCAATAGCCAGTAATAGGTAGAATAAAAGTTGCTGCCTTTGAGCGGAAATGTGAATCCTCAGAAATTAAAGTTTCCCCTATTGCCAGGACATTTGTGAAGGGTCTCTATTTTTACCTTAGAAACCGTAAATTTAAAGGGCTTAATATAATAATAATAATAATAATAATAATAATATATTTATTAATGCAACAGCCTCATGAAATTCATACAAATTTATGAGCTTAACACTCGTCAAATAATTTAATGGAACAAATTTTAACATCAAATAAATGTAACAAAAATTTTAACAAACAAATAAAAAAAAAACAGTAAATGAAGAACTAAGACTTAAGACTTAGGGGACTACATTCAGGCAATTTAGGGATTGGGGAGGTTTGCGTCGAGATATTCTTTTAACTCGTAAAAAGGGTTTTCTATGAAGTAATTTTTTATGTTATTTAGGAATAGATTTGAATTTTCTGATTTAATGAAAAGTTCTTTTAATGGCTTGGGAAGCTTGTTAAAATATCTGATACCTCTGCTTTCTAAGCTATCCCAGTCTACTTTTTCCCCCCGTTTTTTTTCAATTTTTGCTAGGATATTTCTGGTTTGTATTTGATTATTAGTAATTAATTTTTCTTTGATGATGTAGCCTAATTTAATTGATTCCTTTATTGTTGAATATATATACCTAGAGAAGACAGTCATCACATTGAACTCTGGGAATAGTTTTCTACAAGAGTCAAATTTTTTTTTGTTTGCAATAATTCTTAAGATTTTTTTTTGAGTTAAAAGAATATCTCTGGCACCTGTTGTATAGCCCCATAATTGTATGCCATAGCTAATTATGGAATCCACGTTAGAATGGTAGTACAACATGAGGGACTCCCTATCTATTTTCCTATTAAGTTTCCTAATAGCAAATGCCCTACTTGCAATTTTTTCCTCAATATGTTTTGCGTGAGAATGCCAATTTAGTTGTTGGTCGATGAAGAAGCCCAAATATTTCACTGTTTGATTTGTCTGAATTTCCTTATCACCGATTTTGACCGATTGAAAATCTAATATATTTTTAGTGAAGTTTAATATAAAGGTTTTAGCAAAATTTAATTTTAGATTATTATCCTCTACCCATTTGTTGACTCTATCGATGACCCATTTAATTTTATTTTCTATATCCACCCCTTTAACTACCACATTGATGTCATCAGCGTAGATTACTGTTTGAAGGTCAATTCCATTGTCCTCTAGAAAATCTGGCAGGTCATTTATGTATATAAGAAATAAAAGTGGACCTAGCAATGAGCCTTGGGCTACGCCAGCGGTACTAGGTGTGAAATTGGAATGATATTTTCGGCCATTTTTCGATACTTCGGTTGTTTGAAATCTACCGGAGAGGAAACTCCGAACCAACTTACAGGCTTTAGTGGAAAAGCCATATTTTCTTAACTTTTCAATTAAGATATCGTGATCAACTAAGTCAAAGGCTTTCGACAGATCAAACTGTATGCTTACGATTGACTCTTTAGAACAAGCATTTTTTAGTTGCCTTATTTGGTTTAGGCTATAATATAGCTAAGTTGAGAAAGTTAGAAGAAGAAAGAGTAAAAATTAAATGGACCGCGTCTAACAAAAGGAACCAAGCCATATCAGCTATTGCCAATTTTAATTGGTTAATTTAATTTTTTACAAGAAAACGTTTGTGCAGAGCCCTTTGAAAATGTTAAGGAATTTGCTTCGCTTTATGGAGAAAATTCACTGAAATTTGCACAAAAATCCGCACACCTGTTTTCATGTAAAAAATTAAATTAGCCAATTAAATTTGGCAACAGCTGATGTGGCTTGGTTCCTTTCTATTTAACGCGGTCCAAATGATTTCTTAAACAAAAAATCCATAATAATTAGCAAAACTTCTAGCTTAGGGCTTGTATAAGGGCAGCTCATTAAAGTAAAATGAAAACCAGCCCATTTTCTTTTGAAAGAAATGTACGAAAGATTTTTATTACTCATTAGTGTAAAGAATGGGCCATTTGTGCTGGTAACAGAATCGCGTTTTGATGTTTGATTCTAGTATATTAGCTAAAAATAAGAAGATCTGTCCAAACAGCAACTTTCTATGTTCAATATTAAGCTAGATATGGTCCTTTGAAAGTCCGGTTTTAGACGTCATCCACTGCGGTAGTGCATAACATGGTATGTACTTTCGCGGTGGATGACGTCATAAATCGAGTTTTTCAAGGCACGATATATCGTTAAAAATTGATCGCAGAAAGTTGCAGTTAGGACAGATCTTATCATTTTTAGTTGATCTGCAAGATTAAAGCATGAAAACTTGATTCTGTGACCAGCGCAACTGACCCATTGGGTTTGCTTAGAAACAAGAAACATGGTACACTTTCTTAGCTGTGCGTGTTAGTCTCTCACGGCAAGAACATTACAATTCTGCAGCTTCGAATAGTGCAGCATAGTAAATGCAATGCAGAAGTAATGGGACTTTTCTGTATTTTCTTGTCAGAATACTGAACGACACATCGAAACAGTAAAGTTTAATGATGGCATGGCACTAAACTGCGTCTTTTTCCTCACAACTAGTGTGAAAATACACTAGGGTATGTAATGACCAATGAACGCCTTGCAACATTCATCATGAAGATTACTTTTGGATTAAGAATATTTTACATTAAACTGTAGCATTTAAGTTTTCTCACGTACACCCATTCTGATAAATATTCTTTCAGATTTTTATCAAGAGTTATTTAGAATATCAAATGCAGCAGGGAAAAAGTCAAGTTGTGAAATGAATCGGGACGTGCGAAAACCGCTAATGTCCATTTTTCCACTCCTCAGTTTTTTTGAGTTAATTATACTTTTCGTAGTTGAATGCAACCACGAAAAAGCCGTTAATACTCGTCTCCGGGTCACCTTAATCCCAAAACGAGTTCTTTCTTCACTTTTATGGTTGTATCAACTCTTTAAAAGTATTATCAACTAAAAAAAACTGAAGACTGGAAAAATGGACTTTAGCGATTTTCGCACGTCCCGACTCAAATGTTTATCAGCCGTTTTGGAGGGACCCTCATCCTCTCTTAAATCTGATCGCAGTCCATTTTTATTTAGGTAAATCTAAAAAAAAAGGGTCAAAACATGAATTCTAGAGGAAAAAAATTGAAAGACTCATCTTTGAAACTGCTAAACTTGGAAATTGAGACAAATCCTTTAGAAGCAGAAAAATAATTGAGTTGAGAGGATATGTTTCCCCACATGAAAGGATTTTTCAGGGCATAATCATCAGCAACGGAAATGAAACCAACAGGTAAATGAGCGATACTTTTTAAGTGAAAATATTAAAACTTTAAGACTTATCAGTTTAGTGCTTTATTTCCAAGTTGGGAAGTTTTTGGTACAAGACATTTAACTATTCGCACATGGAAAAAAGGTTAAAAACAACACTCGAGTAGAGTCGTCTGTGTGTTTATTATGCCCAATAAAAAACTAGAATAAATTATTCTGTTCCTCCTTTAATTTTCATTGGAGGTATTTGCAGGAGGAAAAAATAAGAGAGAAAAGGTATTATTGCTGGAAAGTGGGTGGTATGGATTTTATTTCACTTCTTACAGGGTTTCACACTCATGAAAAACTGATTACTAGGAAAAAAAATAATGATTAAAGGCACTGGAAGAACTTTTACACATTTTGGTGAAAGAAAGATGCCAATCATTACAAAAAATTGCTTTGAAGTCATATTTTCATTTTCCATGTTGTTATCATACACTTTTTACTGATATTATAATATTCCCTCAATAGTATTTGAGAAAGAAGTATCCCTATCACCGTCTTGTTTTGAGAATGTCAACGGTGAAACTCCCAAACCGCATATCTCCTTTGCAGTGTTTCAAAATCTTTGCTTCTACTTTATTTTTTGAAAGGAGAACGAATCAAAATCATTTCTTGAAGTCTTCAGAGATATATCTTAGGACAAAGAGGAAAAATCATGGAATTTGTAAGAATTGACGTTAAGTAGTCCTCTGTTTAAAAAAATAAAGAAAGACAAAAAGTCTATAATGTTGCAAACAGAGGTATGTAGTTTGGGAGTTTCAGCATTGATATTCAGGCTAACATTGTAAGAATTCTGAGAAGAAAATAAACATGAAAAAACAACTTTCTTTAAGTAAATTACTTTCCGGTTTTGGCAGACTTCTTGATTTCAGTGTCTCTGGTCAAGATAATTAGAGCTTTATATTTTTCGGAAAATAATATTGACACATTTCTGAAGATTTGTTACCCTATGAAAATTGCTTCTGAATGTTGTTGCTGAAAATTAAACGATAACACTCACTGAAAACTCAGACCGTCTGCATTGTAATAAACACATTACAGCTTAACTCTGAGAACTGAATCCCAAACTGCAATAGTCAACACTTCCTGTTATATTTAACTTTTTAACAGAAAACTAACCAATGTCATTTCATTAAAATCTTTAATATCTATTTTTTCTCTAATTTTTTTGTTTGTTAACAGAAAGAATGTTCTACTGTAGACTGTGCGCAACTAAGTTAGTTTACTTTTCATAAAAATAAAAATAAAAATTAAGAATTGAGGAAGATATTTTAAAATGAAATGGTTAGGATAGGTACGTATCTTTCAAGTTCACACATGTATGCAGCTATAAGCTGAATCAAAATGATAACTGCTGAGAAAAACTTGACCTCACTTAGCCCTGTCAGATTAAAAAATCCTCATGACTGACATGTCAGAGACACTGTGACACAAAGAATAGTCATCATACGACGATTCTATTTTTATGGGAGAAATCAGGACCAGAGAGCCATAAATGATGATTGATGTCCCTGCATTACTTGAACTAATAGAGCAACGAAAATTCACTCAATTAGACACCAATGCTCTTAAAAAAAAGTTTTGACAATGAAATAACAAGAAGACCCACTAATAGTTTCAAAAATTCACCTAGATATTTGAAAAACAGAACACCAAATTTAATCTGAGGGAATAAAAACACACCAACTCGGAAACTTCAAAATGCCCAAATTACATTGAAGATGCCCAATTTTCATAAAAACCATGAAAGATGGCGCATCTACGTCAGGTTCACATTTTGGAATGACCCAAAGTAATTGCCCTTTGGCACCAAAAAGCTTCTTCTTGGACCAACTTCTTCACCTACTGCACGATTTTTTGTCTCTTGCAAAAATTCATTTTTCCAAGTTGGTGTGTTTTCTTTCATCCTCACTGATTCAATTGTCTTAATTTGGGAAAAGAACTTTTACCACATTGACTGATATTGCGGTGACTGATAAAGTTGCTAGAGGTTGGTTATTTAAGCATAAATTGTTAAAAATGGACGAAAATACAACAGGAGCATTAATGCAGATTTTAAATTCTAAATACTTATAGAGTAGAGAAAAATAATCAAAACACAACAAAACAAAAATTATGAAAAAAAGAAACACTGAGATGAGCATTTTGCTAAGAATTCAGCTTCGCTGATGAGGATCTGGCTTCGAGGTTGCTTAAAAAGTTTAACCTATGTCTCCTTACTTCTGACATATCAGCGCTTGTACTAGCAAGAGGCTCATCTGGAAACAAACAAGAAAGAAATTACAACAAAGGTTCCCAACAATCCACTCTAACAATATGACACACAACTCCGAGAGATTTTAATACATTTTTTTTTCTTTCTGACCTCTTTAATTCCCAGTGATCCAAAAGTCCCTGGACCTCAGTTTAAAAATTTTGGATGTATTCTCTGGTCACAGATGTAAGGAAAAGTGGTGAAACGTAGCTTTCATTAATCGAAAAATATAAATTTGAATCTCTAAGTGCAACCGTTCAAAAGATGACAGGGGAGTGATCTGGTTGATTGAAATATTTTAAAGTTTTGAAGAAAAAAAAACAAAATTTTAAATTTGTAAATAAGGTAAAGACGGGTATGTATGGCCGATGTAACAGCAGACCCGGTAGGTTTTAGAGGCAACAGAGCTGGACTTCTGGCGTAAATCCACTGGTATTTCCAGAAAGGATCGCGTCAGGAATGAGACAGTACAGGAGATCATCGATGCAAAACAGACCATCGTGCATGACATTATGACGAAACAACTTATTTGGTATGGTCATGTTCAGAGAATAGCAGAAGACAGGTTGCCGTAGAAGGTCCTTGATTGGGTTCCTCCTGGGAGAAGACGCAGAGGGCGCCCAACGACAGTTTGGAGAGGGGATTAAAGCAGAAATGCTAAGGTGCTCAATGCCCAAAGGGTTGTGTTTTGACAGAGAGCAGTGGAGGTTAGGTGTCGTAGAGCGTGAGGGCATGCTTTAGAGCGACCTATATGTATGTAAAAAAGGTAAAGAGAATTTTCTTGTCCTGCGCAATTCTAATTTTTTTTAGAATTCTCAGAAAAAAACTTCCTACTCTAGGACTGTTTATGAAATACATGGTGTGTACGTTAGCGTAGAAAAATCTTAAGTGCATGTTTGGGAGGGGGTATCTGAGCATGTAATGGTTTGTAACAAGGGGATGAAAGGTGTCATGATCAGTAACCAGTTTGAGTTTTTTACGGCTGTCAATTCTTAAAAGCTGACCTAAGCCACAAAAGATGCACAACATTTGTAAGAAAGAGTCTAGGTACAGACAGTAACAAGTGATTAAATTACTTAATTTTTACAGTCATTACTTTTAGGTGGGATTTTTGGTGCATCTAAAAAAGAAGGATGTTGAACCTGCATTGTGAGAGAATCAGAGAATTGGAAAAATAATTTCACACATTAAATGGACTCCCTTTTCAACAACACAGAACTACACAAATATTACCAGAGAGAGTTACGAACACTTAAGGTTTTGTATTGACATAACCGTAACTGATGTAAGCTGATAGGTAGGAGCAGACCTCCTTTAAGCTACTTCAACTTAATGATGAAAACATCTTGAAGAAAAAGACCCCATAATCTCGTGGTGCTAAAAGTAAGATTAGAGCAGGGGTAAAGGACTCCAACCCAGTACCAACCAACCAAGATGATAAGGGGAATTTGTTTAGTAGAAGTAGTATTTGTGGTGGTCTATGCTGACCCGCATGGGGCCCATTACAAGTCTGCACATTAGCAATTGTGTCATTGTGCACAGTGAAATTTGCCTGCACTCTATTTAGTGTACTCAATACCATGAGACATATTGCATTTTTCTGCAAGGCCCAGCGGCCATGTGATAAGTAACAATAAGTAGTATTGATGACTATGGCAAATGTTACTTGGCGCAAAATTTTGGAGGCCATCTAAGGTCCCACAGGGTTAGACTCTTTTGTTTTAATCTCCCTCTGATACCCAACAATAGCACTGGGACACTCTTCAAGTGATTAAACTTTTAAAGGTCCTTCAAAATTCGTCACTTTCCAGGACCGAGCCTGCTACTTATGTGCTTGCAGTAACTACACCACCGAGGCTGAAAATTATTTACTCACCAGTGCATTCAACACTCATCCTGAGTGCTCTCTGTAAATCTGGATCAACAATATCTTCTTCTAAATTTTGTTGACTTGGTGACACTTCAAACTGACTTAGGCTCAATTTGATGGCAGTTTCTAAATCTTCATCACTTACATTCCTGTCAAAAGATGGATTAAAAACAATTAGATCAAAAACGTAATGCAATATCTGGATTATTTTTTGGGTGTGTTTGTGTGTGCCGCGCTAGGTGGTTTTAAAATTTCCAAGGAAACACCCAGATCCACAGAGACATTTTGCCTGACAACAAAGTATCACAGAAAAAATAGAAGAAATTTGGAAGATATGTGGATACAAATTTTTAAGGGAACACTAAAAATCATGAACTAAACATTTTTTCTAAGTCTATGAGGAGACATGGCAGATTTATTTTGTTCATAACCTTGATTTCATGGACTGATATATGATTTGAGCACAATTTGCGATTGGGAACTAAAATTTCTGGCTAAACAACAAAAGCACCTATCTTTGTAGGGAAACTATAGCACATGTTACTTCTGAAAAGAGTCAGAATTTGCAGTTCCCAATTGCAAAATGCAGTCTAATATTTCTCCTTTAGCATGATAATTTTAGCTTTAAAACCTTAAATGTCTCTTTTCTTTGATTAGTCAAATGCAATGTTTGATGCAACGTATCAATCCTACAGCAGAGAGGCAGAAAATTCCTGAAAAAATTGAATTTGAAAATATCGTGGAATCTGTCCTATCGAAATCAAATACCTAGAGAAAAAGACAACGATTGATACCTTGAAAGACGTGATGAACTTGAGCCTCTACAATCCTTGGAATTTGAAGTACTTGCAACTTCTTCTCCAAGACTTAATCTCAAGGCTTTTTTCAGGTCTAAATCTTCCTCATCTTCGATATCACTGATTTGAATAACAGGGACAGGTTTGCGAGTTGTTCTACTGACAGGATTGGCTCGAAGAATTTTATCTGCATCACTTTCAGGCAAATTTCCAAAAACAACAAATATTGAGTAACCTAAATTGGAGGAAAAAAATATATTAAGCACTTCAAAAATACTTAAGAAATAAAAATGCGCTACAAAAAGTGGCCCTTTATTTTATGTTGTAGATTTTGAATAGTACAACAACGACGTCTGACATAATGTTTGAGTGAACACATAAAATGTAAAAACAGAAATAAAAAGAAGGAAAAAAAGAGAACAATGTATCTCATTTTGCTGTTATCAATTCAAATCACCTTAATTCTGTAACTGGAGGTATCTTTTAATCGAATTGATTAGGTGGTAAATTCTACTTATCATCAGCAGCAGGGGTATCTAATAAAGTGAGATATCAAAATTAAATATTTCAGAATCACCTAGCTGGGTCAACTCTTCTGGAGATAAATTCAAAGTGAACAAGTATAACACGTTTGACATGAATAAGAGTACACAAATTCTAGCCCCCTTAGAATGTAAAAAGTCATGTGAACAAACATCTGGTTTTGAAATATGTTTCTTTGAACAAACTCTACCCAGTTCTACAAAATATACATGAGAAAATTTCTAAAACATCTATTCAAATCGAAGAAATCAAAGTCCCTCTTCAAACCTTGCAACTCTTACAAGATTTGAATAATGAAAGTCTAGGTCATTATTATGATACCTATTAATTGATAATGGTTGAGGTATTTACCTTCCTGTTGTAACTGAGCCAAAAACATTGCTAGGTATGTATTAGATATTAGCTCTGGTCCAGACAAAAGGGAGTTCAAATTAAACCATTGTGAACCGATCTTACGAACAGTGAACCAGTGGTCTTTATAGTTACATATATATGCATTCATGGAGCTGAAACAAATAAAAATACCGCATATAATACCACCAAAAAAAAAAAAAAAAAAACCTTCTTAATGGAATACATCAGGTTGGAATTTGAGAATCCTGCAAAATCTGAGTACAGTATGAGGAGAAGCAAAACGCTAAAAAAAGTTAATTCCAGAGTTTTTGCTAAAATAGATCAAAATTACTTAAAATTATTCTAAATATTTCAAAAAATTTGAGCCGATTTCAATTAATAGAATCCATCGATATTAGTAGTACTTCTTAACAACAAGTCGGAGGCTACATGTCAGTGTGAATCATATTTAGCAGCATGCAATCACACTGCCAAATTTATTCGAGGAAAAGAAAATTATGCTACCTACATTCAATTGAGGAGATACTTCCGCGAAAAAAACTATTGGTCGCAAAAACACTTTTGCGAAGACAGCATCAATTAGATGTGCTTTCAACAAGTCGTAAGAAGATTGAAGCACATTAGGGAGGTACAAAAGCCGATTTTTTTAATATTTTTTGCCATGCCTGTACAATAAGAAAAGACGTAGCCCTTACCGCATTGTGTACTATGTCTATATTTAGATGTCTTGTCCTGCTGACAAGTGAGTTTCAATTATCAGCCTGTTAGTGGTGGCTGTGCAGGTAAAAAACCTTTTGAATTGTAGATTGTTAAGTAAATAGTTAAAGCAAGGAAAGAGAATACTCACTCCGGGTTATGCTTTGCTTGCATTGCTCGCGGCTCTGTGCTATTATAAGGTACAAGTTCCAGGCCCCATACACCAAGAGCACTATTGATAACTTGAACTGAGAAGTATCCACTGTCATCCATGTTTCCTGACGGTTGCTGGAACGACAAAGTCACCGGTATTTAAAAAAAAGAAGGAAAGCTATGGTAACGAGTAGTTTTTCATGTCGTTTTCGAGGATGGATAGGTCATAAAACTGACCAATTTGCCTCCTTAAAAATTCGAATATCTTGCTTAATTTGTGAGACAGAGTAGTAAAATTATGAGCATACATTTTTGGCAAGCAATAAATGAGAAAACGTTTTCTGTAAAAAAGCCCTTGAAGCCTGAGGATCTACTTGCACCATTGCCTGTGAGAATGGAGAGGCCGTAACTAGTCAGTTTTGTGACATCAAGCTAGCAGATATTTACCGAAAACAACAAGCATCTCCGGGTCATAGGTGCATCGATGAGTGAGGCAGTCACTGCGTGGACCAATCAGAGTAGCCCTCGATCGGCCGAAGTTGCGCGAGCGGCCTGTTTGAATCTGAGTGGAGTAACGATTTTGATATTACGCTTTCATTTCCTCGATTTTTAGACAATGTCACAAATGGGTTAATTAGTTTTCTAAAGTGAAATTTTATCCTCTTTCGAAAAGGTTCTTATGAAATTTTGCGTCAGAGCAACTCTGAAAAAGATATCGGCGAGTAATCATCGTGCTGCAAGCGTTCTCCCATATAAGAACGCGTGTTAAACCGCGGCCGAGTTTCATCTACTAGTAAGACATCACAGAATCGTAGTTACGGCCTCTCCATTCTCGTAGGCAAGGCTTGCACCTGGTTCCTCATATTCATTGATTGATTCCTTATCCGAGCCTCTTACCATTTACCACCCATACTGAAACCGATTTTGAGAGACTCCAAGAGAGAAATGTAATCAATAAAGGCACACAAGAAACAAATATTTATAGATATGCGTGCTGGATCACCTAAAGAAAACGTAACTTCCCTAGCCAGAATACCCGCAACATTATGGTGATTTCTCTACTGACAAAAAGTATTGCAGCCTATTAAGAACATCTTATGCAACATCACAAGATTTCTCAAATGCTAAGCGTGGCTTGCATTCAATACAACGTCCAATATAGGGTTACATCGGAACACTACAGTCAACGATTCCTCGCTCTGAGCAATGCTCACAGCAACAGAAAGACAAGAGCTTAATTACCTCTAAAAAGCGTTGATAATCAGCACTGTCAACACCATTTTCTGCCATCCTAATTCGTTCCTCGTCATCCATTTGCTGACCAAGAGTCGCCAGTTCGACCGGAGTGAAGTAAGGCCCTTGCAGTAAGGCATTCAAGCAATGCTGGGCGCAAAGGTAACCTTCTTGCTGAAAAAGCAAAACACATCAAGAATCATAAGTGAGATTATAGTGTGGAACTATAAAAACCATTTCAAAATTGGTACAATTCCGTTAGGTTAGAATGAAATGATTGTTGTTCTGATAAGAGAGTTCTACTTTCACGTAAACATGCGCGCAAAAACGAAATAAAAACTGCCTAAAAATAAGACGCGATTCTAATACAGAGGAATGACCATAAACTTACTTTTTCGTGAAATATAGACTCCATGGAGAAAGACTGGGCGCACGACAGGACAATAAACGAAAAGTTTTCGATCACAAATTTCTATTTTCTAAATTCGCACATCAAGAAAAGAAAATAGGAAAATGCAAATGCACTGAAATCGAAGAAACCATGGTGGTGCAACAACAACATTTAATAGTGATGACATCACGACTTCCGTGCACACAAACGACGCAATTTCCCACTTTCCCGCCAAAAAACGCTAAATTCAAATAACCGCACTATAATATAGCTATTTTCGCTGTTCAGAACAACAGGATAAGCACATCGTAAATAAATCTCTTTCGTGTAAATATGTCCAAATATTTTTCTTCGACAAATAAGACGTATCAGCTCTTGATTTTGAGAACTTGTATTATTTCTCTGCCTAAAATAAGAACGGTGTGAGTGCCGCTACTGCAGTTTTGACCGTTAAGGCCGTAGTTTAAGGGCGCTAAAGCCAGGACTGTATTTCGCAAACAGATAATTTTTGCAGAATAATTAAGAGTCAAGAGGCAGGAGTAATTTAACTTAAAAATAAACGGAACTCAAATCTACAGTATGATGCAAAACAATTTGGAAAATCTCGTCGTGTAAATACACAAGATTCGAAAACGCCTTCAATTAAAGCGTGATACCTCACGCGTTCCGGGGAGTTCAAATAGTTGTATCCCTGCGCCTTAGCAAGGCGATGGAAGTTGAATATTGAAGTAGCGTCCCCGTTTGATTTTTATGCTTTCCTGTGCCGCTACTGCAGTTTCGACCGTTAAGGCCAGAGTTTAAGAGCGCTAAAGCCAGGATTGTATTTCGCAAAATAATTATTTTTGCAAAATAATTAAAAATTAAGAAGCAGGAATAATTTAACTAATTAAGAAAAGGGACTAAAATCGACAATATAATGTAAACGAATTTGGAAAATCTCGTCATGAAATTACAGAAGATTCGAAAACGCCTTCAATTGAGGCGTGATACCTCACGCGTTCCGGAGAGTTCAAATAGTTGTATCCCTGCGCCTTAGCAAAGCGATGGAAGCTTAATATTGAAGTAGCGTCCGCGCGTTGTTTATCGGTTTCCCTGTGCCGCTACCGTAGTTTCGACCGTTAAGGCCGTAGTATAAGAGCGCCAAAGCCAGGGTTGTATTTCGCAAGTGGATAGTTTTTGCAGAATAATTAAAAATTAAAGAGCAGGAGTAATTAAACTAAATAATAAAAGGAACTCAAATCTACAATATAATGCAAAAACATTTGGAAAATCTCGTCATGTAAATACAGAAGATTCGAAAACGCCTTCAAGTGAGGCGTCATACCTCACGCGTTCCGGCGAGATCAAATAGTTGTATCCCTGCGCCTTAGCAAGGCGATGGAAGTTTAATATTGAAGCAGCGTCCCCGCTTGGTTTTTTGGCTTCCCTGTGCCGCTACTCCAGTTTTGACCGTTCAGGCCGTAGTTTAAGGACGCTAAAGCCAGTATTGTATTTCGCAAAAAAGATAATTGTTGCAGAATGATTAAAAATTAAGAAGCAGGGATAATTTAACTAAATAATAAAGGAACTCAAATCTACATTTTAATGCAAAAAAATTTGAAAGGCCGTAGTATAAGAGCGCCAAAGCCAGGATTTTATTTCGCAAAAAGATAATTATTTCAGAATAATTAAAAATTAAGAAGCAGGAATAATTTAAGTAATTAATAAAAGGAACTCATATCGACAATATAATGCAAACAAATTTGGAAAGTCTCGTCATGTAAATACAGAAGATTCGAAAACGCCATTCATTGAATTTTTCATTGAATTTCATTGATTCATGAAATTTCGTGAAATTTCACTAGAATAAATTTCATGAAATTTTCCATCTCTGATCACGACACGACATGGTATGGAATGGAAATAGAGCAAGGGAAAAGATGCGCGTTGATGACGGCGCAGAGATACAACTATTCGTGCTTGATGGATGTCCGTGTTGTATCTGAAAAATTGAAGGCGCGTTGGCACGAGGCGTAAACTCGCAATGTTCCACTCTACGCTGCTAGTGATGTTTCGCTTCGGGAGAAAAGTTAAAAAACGAGGCCGCAATACTTCTCTTCTATCATTAGCAGTGTTAACACTCGACTTTTCTTTTTTTTTTTTTAAAAAAAAAATATGATGTCTGATTCTCTTATTAGGATGTATTTGTAGACGTCCATCTAAAGCTCGTATGCAGCGGCACCATGACTCCCTTGGCGGAGACAGTCGGATCAATTTGACCCGGTTTAGGATTTCTAGGGGTGGTTGTCAAAAAAAAACTCCCTGACCCTCGCTTATTTTCTTTTTTTCAATTTCATGTGTGATTTTTTTTTTTACGGTGTACCTATTTGTAGACCTTTCATAAATATATCTAAAATTCGTATGCACCGACCGTCCGACCCCGTAAAACCCGTGGGCTAGATGCGCGTTTTTTAGCAAGCCTCGGGTCAATTCGACCCGGCTTGGGCATTTAAGGGTTATATGTGCCAACTTTGTAATGCAGTGTAATACGCCAAAATTTTAATCTTTCACGGTCTACAGTTCTGTTGATGGGTTAAATTTTTGCAGCGTGTTTCAGCGCCTTCTTTCCATCAGTCGCATATTTTCCACAGTGAATATCGCCTTTTGAACTTTCTCGACATTACTTGACAGAAAGTAAAGGCTCAATTAATATATCACGAAAAAGGAACTGAAACTTCCGGAGTTGATATATTCCCCCACTGTAAACCATAGAAGGGCATATTTTTTTGTTTCTTTTCTTTTTTGTTTTGTCTTTTTTCAGAATCCGGAACTGTTACCGTATAGATGCACGGTTTGTGAGGGTTTTGGATCATCGGTTTAAATAGTTTCATCAAGTCCCTTTCTCCGCCAATCAACGCGTCTGTCGATCGACCCAGATTCAGTTGGTGCGTAGGAAGTCAAAACGCCTTCAATTTTTTGAACGCAATACGGACATCCGTCGAGGTTGTATAGTTGTATCAAGGTGCCGTAGCAAACGCGTCCCATTGTTTATCGTTACAGACGAATATAAGTTGAGAGAGTAAAGTCAAAATGCCTTCAATTTCATACACACATACTTTTGGCCAAAGTGAGAGATGACGTTTCTCCATTTCCGACGTTGCAGACTTCCTGAGAAACTTTATTTTTCAGTAGGGAAGCTAGTGAACATGATGCGTAAATTTTCTATGATTTTCCGTATTCGATAGCAGGAGATTTGATTCAAAATATAGAGTCATAAATTTGGGTTGTTTCTCTTGGAAGAGATGAAATAAGAACGAAAATTTTGAAACACCTCAATGGAGATACGTAGTTTCGCACTTCAGGCGGTGCGATACGGAAAATACGGACATCCATCAAGTTAACTAACGAGAGGAATTCTCATTTCCATCGAAATGAAGCAGATATTGAAAGTCATATTCCCGCATCCCAATGAACGTTCTTCGAAAAAGTGAAACTAAGACGTCATACCTCATACCTATTTTAAAATAAGAACGCCCAAATGGAAAGAAGGACACTCAAATAGTTGGAACAGGGCGCAAATTTTACTAGCATTAATTTTGTCTTGTTATTTTCGATTTAAAAATTTAAAAAGTTTTGTTACGTCACGGCTTCCCTAAAAGGGTTAGGAGGGGGGGGGGTGTTCTCCTGGCTGAAAGAATTTCATGACCGCACTCTGTAATCTAATGCAAAAGCAGCCTCGCGTCAAAGGTTGTAATATGTTCTACCCAAACTTCGATCGTAGTTTTTAATTTGCCTGTTGAGAGAAGCAAAAAAATTGAAACATTTCAGTCAAGTTCGTGTGGTGCAGCGTAAGTGTTGCTCGCTAGCAACACGAAAAAGACTATAATAATTCGAAAAGAAACAAGTCGGTCATTTTGAGTTCACGAATGACGTTTCCAATGCTCATGCTGGGCATTGGATGTTCTCCCAGTAAAGTGTAAAGTCTCCAAATACGTACTTCACTTCAAATTAATTTTTTTAAATTATAAGGGTTCGAAAAAATGAATGATCATTTAGGTATTCCTTTGAAACCACCACAGTCCTTTTCTTTGATTACTGTCCCAGTTTTTGATTTTTGTTGCCATCTTGAAGTTTTGTGACGTCAGGCGGGTACCACTTTTGCCAGGCGTGTGCCAGGCGACTACCGAATCTGTAGCGCGCATTTCAAATCTTCGCCTGCTCTCAACAAGATTAGAACAAGATGAGGACGAGAAGCATTGTTTGATAAGTGAGATGACGATGTATAAATTAGATATAAATGATCCGTCACATTCCTTCCTAGAAATGTGCCTGTTCCAGCTGAATTTAGTTTTTTATTTCTGAATGATGAAAGAATCTCAGAGGATCGAAATATGACTAATTACTAGCTCTGTAGCTTGCAAGATAACGCCCTTACCTGAGTTATGAATTTTTCCAGTATCGTTGAAATATAAGTAGAGTACCTAGTAGCGGCACCCAGTGTC